ACTCTTTTTAGAGGGCTGATTTGATTTTCATCTTGAGTAGACTGCTTAATGTATGCCTTTCCTTTTAAAAAATCAATGCAGTTAGAAAGTTATAAATCTTACAACAGAAGAAGCCTCCCTCCTATGACTGTCTGAGCCATCCACGGCACTCAGGTGCCATTCCTTCCCTTTTATCAAAGTCTTCACTGTTTTTTGCTTCAGTGCTTCTCCCTATAGTCATCAATCTCCTCTTCTGCAGGATCGTTCTCATCATTCTAATATGTTCCATGTTTTAAAAAATCAACAAATAAGCAAGTAAGCAAATCTGTTGCCTTGATCCCTCACCTCTTCCAGCTATAATCCCATTCTGCAGCCTCACTGTTCAGATTTCCTGACCAAGTTGTCTATACATGTCCTCTCCTATTCCTCTCATACTCCATTAACTCTTAAACCCACCACAGTCTGGCTTTGTCACCTTCCCTTTACTGAAACAGCTCCTATCTGATTTGGCAGAATCTTTTTGTTGACAATTCCAGGGGACATTTTTCTTTGCATGGGGTACCCAACCTCCTATTTGACGTGTGGCCATGACTTTGGCCATGAAACACCTTTATCCTCTGACTTGCCTGACACCAGACCCTGAGGATTTTCCTCTACTTCATTGGTTATTCCTTACCAGTCTCCTCTGGTGGCTTTTCCACCATTAGACTTCTTTTAGAGTTTTTTGGAGCTTGGATCTGAGTTCTAGGAACATTTATTCAACTTTCTGACACCTCCACTTAGATGTCTCAAAGGTACCTGTAACTTAACATAATGAGAAATGAACACCAATTCAAAAAAATATAACTAATGAGGAAGTGTGATAAAATGACTGGGTACAAGATAAATGTATTCAATACTGTCATTATAATAGAAATAACCATGTGAGGGGCACCTGGGTGGCTCACTCGTTAAGTGTCTGCCTTCGGCTCAGGTCATGATCCCAGGGCCCTGGGATGGAGCCCCGCATCGGGCTCCCTGCTCAGTGGGAAGCCCGCTTCTCCCTCTTCCACTCCTCCTGCTTGTGTTCCCTCCTGCTGTGTCTCTCTCTGGCAAATAAATAAAATCTTAAAAAAAAAAAAAAAGAACCATGAGGAAATGAAACTAGAGAAGAATTACTGCATTTACTACAGTGACAAAAAAAGAAAGTAAAAGAACATGATAAAAAAAATTTACTAAGAAAAACATAGAACCTATAGTCAAAAGATTTTAAAATCTTATTCCTGAGCATGAGATCTGAACAAACTAAATAACATATATGCTTAGATGTGAAGCCTTAATATCATAAAATGCCAATAAACTCAATTAATATGCAGATTTAATGCAATTCCAATTAGAATCTCAGTGGGGTCAGGGCTTTTTGTTGAGAGGATTGGGTAATATTACTTTAAAGTATATACAAGGGTAAATATCTAAAATTAGCTTTAAAAATGATTTTATTTTATTTTTTTAAGGTTTATTTATTTATTTTAGGTGGGGAGGGGCAGAGGGAGAGAAAAAATTCCCAAGCCGACTCCCTGCTGAGCGCAGAGCAGACTCAGGACTCATCAATCCCACGACCCTGAGATCATGACCTGAGCCAAAATCAAGAATCAGATGCTTAACTGACTGAGTCACCCAGATTCCCTAGCTTTAAAAATTCTTTTAAAAGGACATATATGGAGGGATGCCTGGGTGGCTCAGTCAGTTTAGCATCTGCTTTCAGCTCAGGTCACGATCCCAAGGTCCTGGGATTGAGTCCCTCATTGAGCTCCTTGCTCAGTGGGGAGCCTGCTTCTCCCTCTACCCCTCCCCCCTGCTTGTTTTCTCTCTCTCTCTCTCTCTCCCAAATGAATAAAATCTTTTTTTAAAAAAGGGTATATGTGGAAGTAGGAACCTTAGCAAACATTATATCTAATAGACTAAATAAAACACTGTACTATTGGCATAAAAATAGACAAATAGAACAGAAGTAGCACCCCGAAATTTCTCTATATATGAGATGCTAATTACTACCAAAAGTAATACCTCAATTCAGTGGAAAAAGGGTGGTTTACATTAAAACTATATTGATAATAGAGGGCTCATATTAGAAATAAGAAGGGCTCCAACAAATCAAAAAGATAGAGATAATAGGAAAAAAAAAAGAGAACTTAGCAAAGACCCTTTCACAAAGAGGATATCCAAATGCCCAGTAAACATGAAAAGTTACCCAATGACGTTAATAACCAGAGAAATGTAAAGTAAAATCAAATGGGATTCCACTCTGCATCTATCAGCATGACTAAAATGAAAGACTGACAATACCAGTGTTGGCTGCGTGTGGAGTAACTGGAGTTCTCATATGGTTGTAGGAGTATAAATCAGTAATAACAGTCAAAATTGAACATATGCATATCTTATAATCTAGCAGTTTTGCTTCTGTCTATATATATACGCAATAGGAATGCATATACATGTGCATCCTATAACACAGACAAGAATATTCATAGCAGCATTACTTGGCAAATGTCTAAAACTAGAAACAACTAAAATGTCTGAGCAATAGAATGTATTTTGATGGTTGTATATTTATACAGTGGAATACTATATAGCCATAAAAACCAGCTATCAGCTGCTACAGACAACAACACAGATGAGTTTCAAAACACTGGTGAGATAAGAATCCTTTATGTCAAATTGAATGAAGACGATGACGAGATCCTTATGAGTTACCACAGGGGCATCTCCCCATGGCATGGGTCTGTACCATGCACTGCAAGATGTTGGTCATTTCTGGCCTCTGTCCACTCAGTGCCTGTGGCACTCTCTAGTCATCCAACAACTACAAATTCACCCCCCACCCCCTGTGACTTCCAGAAGCCTTTTTGGGGTGCAGGAGTGGAGGCTCTACCCACGTTGAGAATCACAAGGCTAGAGGAATTGGAGGAGCCTCTCTCTCGGCAGTAATGCCTATGCTAACCTCGAAGGATGAGTAAGATCTTAAAACCAGAGACTTTGGGACACAAGCAGCATATAAAAGAGGGAGCAACATAATGTAGACTCTATCTCACCTGATGAAGCAGTGTGTCCTTGTTGGATAATAGAAATAAAGTTGGATAGATAGAAATAAAGTTGGATAGATAGAGCGGAGTTAGAATTGTTGATATGAAGGAGTGTGACAGAGGTGAGCAGACAGGGAAAGTGTCATTTTACTCTTGAATGCATCCTGCATACTACTGCCAAATTAATTTTCTAAAACATTGCCCAGTTCAACGGTCCACTTAATATTGCCTGTGAGTCTTGACACCTTTGCTTTATGCTTAATGCATTTTATCTCATCATATTCATTCCAGTTTATGTCTTATTACTCCTTAAAATTAATTAGGTATGTCTGGCTGGCTGATCAAACTGCTATTTTTACCCCCTCTTTCTTTGTCAATATGCTCACTTCATGCTTTTATTAATGTCTTTCTTCCTTTATAAAATATCCTCATTCTTTCTATACAACTTACTATTCCCAGAGATCTTCTCCCTAATGAAATTGGCACATACCACTCCACACCATCCCGATATCTATTTCCTCTTTCTTAGAGTATTTATGGTTTGTTCTGCCATATTGACCACAACATCGTAGATGGCTTTTCATGCCTCTCGTTCTTATTTCTCTGAATAATTTTTATTCTGAAGAGCTGTGTAAAGTTAAGATCTATGCCTCCCAATATTTTTATAAGCCTCCAATGGAGCCTTGTTTTGGTCAGTTGATAATAGGCATTGTCTTTCAAGTGAAATAGCATTAGATATTGAGCACCCTGAAAACTTAAATTCTGCATGTGTAGATCACAGTATATTAATATTGCAGCATTATATTGTGTCTTATATTTAAATTGCCAAGTACTTTTTGTTTCAGTAACTCGATTTAATTCTTTTTGAAGGTAGGAACCAAGATGTTATGTAACTGTGTCCCCCACAATGCCTAGCAGGGTGTCTTGCTCACAGTAAATACTCAGTATTTTAAATTTTGATTGATTTTTTAAATTTGCTTTATCAATTTGCCTTAACTGTAACCATGCTCAGACCATTGTTTTGTTTTGCTAACAACAGAGGGCACCATTAGGATACTTGTACACCCAAGAAATAATCCTGTCCCACTCCTTGGTAGCTTTCTTGAGCCACACTTTCCTCCTCCTAAACGATGTCATACAAATTCGGAAATTATACTAAATCAAAGCAGCCCAATCCTAACTATAGAGCTATATTGGCTTCCAGTTATTTCTTTGAAAAAAGAGTAAGTACTGTCATATTTTGATCCTTTGTAGTTTTCAGACTTTTTCTTTCTCTGTCTTCCTAATCTTTGCCCAAATGAAATCTTACCCCAGATCTTACTGTATTAATTAAATACATTCCTTTCCCCGAAGGAAGAAGATAGACATGGAAAGCAACAAACTGGAGCCCCACCTTTGTCTCCCTTCCCCTCCTCCTGCCCTCTAAAGAGCACAGCTTGAAAGTCACTATAACTCATCTAATTAAAACACGCTTTTTAAAAAACGATTATTTTGTGATATCTCATTTGGGAATTTAGTATAAAACTAGAAACATTTTCGTTTTACAGTGATTTTTATGTACAAAGGAAAATGTTCTGGAATAAATTCCTTGTTTCAGCAATGAAAGAGTTAATACACTAAGCAGCAGAGACTGAGATATTGCAAGGGATAGTGCTTTCTGTTTCTGTCATTTGTGGTTTAAGAAAAGAGGGTGGTGTTCTGCATTTGAAAGGACTTTAATGAATGCTGTCAGTGTTTGTGAGAGCTAATGGTCAGTATGGGAAAAGAGAGGGGGGAAGTGGTCTAGCTGCTTCAGGATAGGTGGATGAGAGTTTGCTCTGATTGAACGGAATGTTCCACCGTGTTTCATCGCTATTCATTCTCCTTTGTTCTTTATAATCTGCTATATTGGTATAAAAGTTAATGTAGTTATATATGTGAACGTGATTTATTTCCTTTCAATCTGTTTATTGTGTACAGCAGGGCATAGACTTCTCTTGTCTTGGTTGGATGCACAAATCTGTGTGCAGTGCTTTTTGCCCGTTGCCTAGACGATCACTTGGTTTCTCTGAGGATGTCTGGTTCTCGTAAAGAGTTTGATGTGAAGCAGATTTTGAAAATCAGATGGAGGTGGTTTAGCCATCAAGCATCATCTAACTCTACAGTTGACAGCCAGCAGGGAGAATTTTGGAATCGAGGACAGACTGGAGCAAACGGTGGGAGAAAGTTTTTAAATCCATGTAGCCTACAATTGCCTTTGGCTTCAATTGGTTACCGAAGGTCCAGCCAACTGGATTTTCAGAATTCACCTTCTTGGCCAATGGCATCCACCTCTGAAGTCCCTGCATTTGAGTTTACAGCAGAAGATTGTGGCGGTGCACATTGGCTGGATAGACCAGAAGTGGATGATGGCACTAGTGAAGAAGAAAATGAATCTGATTCCAGTTCATGCAGGTTGATTATTTTCTTACTGTTAGAAACGGGGTGTGGGGGTATATTCTCTATAGTGTTAATGATTTAGTAGTATTATTTATCTATGATATATACCTCTACATACATACACATATATAACATCTGGGTATGCATATATGGTACTTTTGCTAGGGTTTGCTGAAATGTTCTCAATTTTGATTCTGTAAAATTATGAAGACTACAAGTTGCATTCATTTTGAAATACCTTATGTTCCATATATAGATATGGCTCTGCCTTGAAAATAATATATAGTAGCAATTTTATGCATCATGGGCTTGCAGTTTGCTTCATTCATTTACCTTCTATAGTCATAGCAAAACTATAGAAGACCTGACATTTTACTTTGCAACAGATTATGGAGTCATTTTTAAATCTTAATGAAAATGAAGAGTTTTACAAGGAGATGTACATTGTAGTTGTCAGTAATTTTTTTTACACCATTGTAGTTACAATAATATTTTTCTTATGGTTATTTCTCTTTGTCCTGTCTATGTTGCTGCCCTCCAGACTAATACAGGAAATACAGTAGCATGTCTCTTTCTGAGATGACAGCTACTAATTCCTGTTACCTTCACTTCACTGAAAATTGGGCTATTTAGGGAAGTGAAGGACATTCCTTCAGGAGAGTATCAGGGAACACAGAGGGGCTAGATGTGGTCAGCTGCTAAAAGCAGGGAGAGAAGAAGGGAGAGTGAGTTTGAGGAGAGAACATAAAAAAAAAATTGGTTGATGTCTCAATGACTTTATCCATCTTCCCCCTTGGAACCTGGCTTTATCTTTGAAATGAATTTTATCAATCAGTTTAAACTACTATAGCATATTATGTAACAAGTCACAGCATAAAACTCATCTTTCTGGTTCATCTTCATGCAGAAATATTTCTCAGTTTTTAAAGGCTGTTGTTTGTCTAATTTGACTACTGGATTCTTTTTTAAAAATTTCTCTGCAGGTTTTGATAACACTTGTAATTTGTGTGTTGGTTCTTAATTATAGGCATCATAAGAGATGGAGACAAAATGAATTCATAGATTCAAGTATTTCTTACTTGGGGATATTTATTGCTTTCTCCTTTTCTAACCTTCAGAACATGGAATTCTGAATTGTGGTGTTGGAATAATAAATATAGACCAGTCATCTATAATCATTTGTATAATGAAGAGAGGGGCGTATCTTTACATAGGTAACTAGTGTATTTAATTTAAAAATTTTTTAATTAGTCTGTGACTTGGCATTAAGTGAATAAGAACTCCAAATAATTTTAATATGGAGATCAGTTGAGTTAGTATGGTTTCATTGCTTTGCATTTTCTTTGGAGACTTGTTGCCATAAAGAGAATAATAATGTATACAGTAAAAGGCTCAGGGTTTATCATTTTTATGGAAACCCAAAAAGTAATCATCTTCCCATTTGAAAATCAATGCAATGTATCAAGACTATTATAACAAAACCAGAAAAACAAAACATTCATTCATTTATCACCATAAGTTATAAAAATCTTAACATGTATCTACTACCTGGAGAGATTATACATATATGAGTATAAAATTTATATGCAATGTCTAAAGTTGTAAAGGTTATAGACACATTGGTTGCTATAATTTACTTCCTTACAACAAAGGTAATATGCATAACTAATGATTATTGAAATCAAGTTAATGTATTCTTTAGTATCCATATTGAAATATCATCTTAGTGGGATATTCATTATGAAAGAAAAAGACTGCCTTTTTTTTTTAAGTGAGAGATGGCTGTATGCGTACTTCAAGAATATAAAATTGACACTTATAGGAGATATAAAAGTAAGAATGGTATTTTTTTAAAAAATCTGATTGTAGTTGTTTTTAAAATGCTAAAAGAAGCTTGAGAAATTAAATAATAAGATGGGAGTAAATAGTTTACATCTGCAGTGATCAAACTATTCCTAAAATATTATTTCAAAAATAAAATGTGCTTTTAAAAAGTCCCTGATTTTTAGATATAAAAACACGTCAAAGCAACTTAATATTCTCAAAGATTTGAAATTTCTATCCTAATATCTTACTGCAAAAAACAACCATTCTAGATTTAGAAATGTCATTTTTGTGTATAGTACTACTCCTCTGTTTTTTCCTAGATTAAATATATCTGATTCTCACATCTTACTTCAGTCCTTCAGCTCTGAGTCTTTGATCTTTGTCATAAGGATACATTTATTTGCCTCTAGCTTTTTGATTAAGTGAGCAGTCTCTTTAGGTGGTGGCCCTTCTACAAATCAAAAGCTGTCACTGTTAATGTCAAAAGAAGCTACACTGACATTCATCAAATTTTTGTATATAACTTGGGCACAAGTGTTTTTCTTTTTCTTACATAATATTTACAAAAAATAAAACATAGTGAACATTTGAGTATGTTATGAATTGATATCTTAAAATATTAAAGACATAACGGTAATATACATGATATATGGAGAATTTCTTATTTAAGCATTCATAGTAATTACGTAGGTAGATCTCAGAACTTAGACTGAAATTTCGAATTATTAGAAAAAAGGGAAAACAGCTGAGTGGTTTTACCTACACAAAATCCTAGCACCCACAGTGGGTCTGCACAATTTCAGACAGAAGTTAAAGACATCATATGTTGCTTATATGTTTGATTAGTTGCATTCCAACTAGGAGACATGTCAGCTTCAGCCCTTAGACTTCCGCTAATTTCTCCTGCCACACGTCTAAGTGATTTAAAAGATTTCATCTTTTGGGGGCACTTGGGTGGCTCAGTCGGTTGAGCATCCAACTCTTGATTTCGGCTCAGGTCATGATCTCAGGGTTGTGAGATTGAACCCCACATCAAGTTCTATGCTGAGCATGAAGTCTGCTTGGGATTCTCTCCTCCCTCTGCCCCTCCCAGCTCGTTTCTCTCTAAATAAATAAAATCTTTAGAAGTTTTCATATTTTAATTTTGATCTTAGGTCTGTAGCCTAGCCAACATTTTCTCCATGGCAGTTGTCTAAGTCATTACTTCAGTATTGAAGTGCAACCCTTATTCTTTACACTGTGAGGAATTTTAGACCCTAAGTGAGGGTTGCCAGTGTGCAGTAGGTTCCTAAGACCTTAATTCAGGATGAATTCTTAGGAAGGCTAGGAGAGTTTCCATTGTGACCCACCATGTGACCATAGTACAAACTCAGTTTACACTTCACTTGATTTGCCAGCCTTGAAATTATGTAATTTTTAACATATTGAGGGAAATTTCATTATTTCAAGCTTTGTTCGTAAAGTTTAATATTTTAGATGTCAGATTTGTATGTCACATTTTTAGTCAATATGTGTAAAATATTGCTGTACTTTACAAATATTCAGAAATAATAATAGCTAATACCAGCTGGGTGCTTAGTACCTGTGGAGCACTGTTTTAAGCATTTTAGTATGAATTCCTTTAGTCTTCACAACAAATTTCTGAGATAGCCACTGTTCTCATTCTAATTTTATAGATGAGTCAATGAGGAACAGAAAGGCTAAGTAACTTGCTCAAGTTTAGTAAGTGAAATAAAACTGCATTTTAAAAAATAAACTTTATATTTTTACAACTGTTTTAGGTTTATAGGAAAATTGAAGAATAGTATAGTGAATTCCTTTATACCCCACACCCAGTTTCTCTTATTTTTAATATATTAGAATGGTACATGTGTTACTATTAATAAACCAATATTGGTACATTATTATTAACTGAGGTCCATACTTTATTCAGATTTTCTGAATTTCTGCCTAATGACCTTTTTCTGTTGTAGGATCCCATCCAGAGCACCATGTTACATTTAGTTATCATGTCTCCTTAGGCTCCTCTAGGCTGGGACAGTTTCTCAGACTTCCCTTGTTTTTGATGACCTTGGCAGTTCAGGGAGTGGGGTCAGATGTTTTGCAGAATGTCTTACTCAGCTGAGATTTATCTGATGTTTTTCTCATGATTAGACTGGGGTTATGAGTTTTGGGGAGGAACACCACAAAGGTAAAGTGCATTTTCATCACATCATATCAAGGATCCGTTCTATCAGCCTGAATTATCGCTGTTGATATTGACTTGATCACTTGGAAGTAGCCGCATTTTGACCCCAAACAATTAAGATGTAGATTTCATGCTCACACGCCAGTCTGTGTGTGACTATTTCAGCTCTCTCTGACTTTCATCACCAAGTTCAACTTGGATTAACATAATAGTTAATGATTCGTTCTCACCACTTTCACCTTCTCTCCTCAGCTAATTTTCTTAGCCTGGTTCTTGAAAATGCCAAGCCTGGCTGGCTTACAGGTATAGTCTCTTAATAGGGCCACAACTCTTTACCCACAGTCCTCTATCTGACTCGTGATGGTTGGTTGCATGTCCCCTGTTTCAACTGCAGATATACGCACTATTCTTTGACTCCTCTTGGAGGCACGGAGGTCCTCCTCCTCTCCCAACAAGGCGTTATCTTCACCTTTTCTCAAGCGCTACCTCCTTTTTCTTGCCCCTCATTATGTTGTCTCTGCATCTCCTTGTTCGAACCAGTGTATTAATTCTGGTACAGTTTGAAATTAAATCCTCAGCATTTCCACGAATTCTGCTTCCAGAGATGGCAAAGAAGTTCAACTCTACCATACTTATATCTGGGAAGGATATATTGCATGTCCTCCTTTACACATATATGCCCAAGTCACGGCATAAATTCCTTTGACAAAAGCTATGGAACCTCTTCCCACAAGACACTCTGTGCGTGCACATGCAGGTGTGCACGTGTGAGTGTTAAGTATTTTATATACCTTTCTAAGGCATCTGTGTCTGCTGTATCATTCTGCCTTCTTAGCTTTAAGCAACTGAAATTGACGGGCTGATTTAAACAGAATAGGAGTTTATTGGAATCCTATTAGTTCTCAGAACTGCTGGGAAAGCTGAAGAATCAGCCTAGGACAAAGGATAGGCACTTCAGTTGCACAACTGGCCTTTATAACTCCAGATTTTAAAGGCAGAAGAATGTGCCTTTATGCCACTTACTGCTTGTATTTCATTTTTTCCATTTAGAACTAGATAGTGAGGTTTTATATTTTTAATATTAGGTATATTAGGCATGAAAACAATCACACACACCCCACATACACACCCAAGTGCACACAGCCATATAATTTGGTCATTTACCTTTAGGGAGCCTATTAGTAGGGAACAGGCTAAGATGATATAATAAGAAATTCAGAAAGACAGTGGCTCAAATAAAATAGAAGTTTATTTCTCTATCTCCCAACCGATGGGCAGGTAGCTCAGGGCAGATAGGTGGCTCTGCTTCACGGGTTCCCTCAGTGACCCAGATTTCTTCCATACTGTTTCTCCATCCTGTAGGGTATTATCCTTTTTTTATGTTCAAAGCTAGCTTACTCAACTCCCCCTCTGCATTCTAGCCCATGGGAGGGACCAGCAAAAGGGAGGACATTAAGCCAATAACACAAGTTGCATGTATCAGTTCTGCTTACGTTCTGTTGTTGAAAACCAAGTCATATGGCCACAACTAGTTGCAAGGGAGACTCAGAACTGTCCTCTTTATCTGGGTAGCCATGTGTCCAGCAAAACTCATTACTGTGGTGGAAGGAAAGAATGATTTAGGAGTCATAATCAACAGGTGCAAGAGGTGAAGACAGCTGAACAGAATTCTTCAGATCGAATTTTTTAATTAGTTTTTTTCCATATTATGTAATATTTTTACCATAGAGACATTGGAAAATAGAGATAAATAAAAACAGAAAAATAGAGAATCACTAATTACCCTGCCACCCCAAAATAACAACCATTAACAATTTGGGGGAGTGTCCTTCCAGTATATTTTCTATACATGTATAATAAAAATATGTATTTTTAGAGTGAAAATCTGAACCTTTCTGTAAATACTATTTTGTAAACCACTTTTTTGCCCTAATATAAATATTAAAATTAGGACTCGTCGCAAAAGACAGAAGCCCAACTCAAAATGACTTAAGCAAAAACTAGAAATTTTTTGGTTCGTGTAAGTAAATAAAATATCCAAGGATAGAACTTAGCTTTATTCGTGGCTGAATCCAGATACTCCAATAACACCAGAAATCGATTATTCTCCCTGTCTAGATTCTGTTTTCCTCTGTGATGGCATTTCCCGGGCAGGCTCTCAGTGTGGTAGCAAAAGCTACTAGCAGCTATAGATTAACT